AAAGCTTTGTTGTTTATATCTTTTTTTTTTTACTAGTAGAAGTTGTTTTTAGTTTAGTTTTTTTTTTTTTTTTTTTTTCATCTCTCAGCATAAAAGAGTGCTTGAAACAAATATTGTTGAGTATATTACAAAATGTCTTCATGAAATATCATACATGATAAACTTTACTTGCTAGTAACTTATAAATTACCGTAAATAAAAGTAAAGTTCTGCTTATGAGAAATTGCACAATTAGAGTCCTCTCCAGTTTTTACTATCTATAGCATATTTCAAAATCAAGATCGCGACAATGTTCTACACTTTTACGACAATCAAGCGTGCCGACGATCATTGTACCTACAACAAAAAAACGTGTTAATACCATATCCACTGAACTTAATAAGCAATAGTTGGATATTACTAGGTATTTATAATATGTACCTCTTTAACATGAATTCCATGTTCAAGAAGAAATATAGTCTGTCTCCAGTGCGTAATACCACCTTGCGGCCCTGTTGTAAAGCTAGTAACACCATCAATATTATCATTAACATTCTGTGATAATGACCGTCACAATGCCGTCACGAGTTATTTCTAATGTAAATGGCGAAGTGAAATCCAGTTGAGATTTACGATGGAATTTCCTTGAAATATTAAAAATGAGAAAATGTAAATATCATGGATCAAACTGTTATATCTAATATGATAGCATACTTTGATTGAAACCACGTCAGAAATAAGTGCATCGGGTATTACATAATCTACTAAAGCACTCGTATGAATTGGACGTTTCATTGCCGTCATTTTAAACGCTGACTCAAACGAAAATTTAAAGAATCTACAAGACTTTATTATAATCATATCGTTAATAAATTAATAGCAGATTAATGCAATAATATGCTATACAAATAAATATTTTACGATTATACCGTCTAATAAAACTTTTTTTCATTGGGAAATAAGGTATTTCGAAAAGTTTCGTATTCGAACCAATTAATTATCGATTAATACCTGAAGACATTATCTCTAGTATCAACCAGTGTTATAATCAATCGATTGATCTAGATTATTTATTGAGTTTTTAACTGCCTAATCTCAAAAAATTAGAGTACATTTCAAAACCATTTCATTAGCGTTAGTGCTGTACGAACAAAAGTCGAAAATACACATTTTGGCATTTTATTCTATTTAATTATTAAACATAATACTGTAGCTTTGTAATATTTCACATGACGATCAGGTGTAACGTAGATCTATAAAACGCGAAAATTTTCCCAGAAAAAAATTTTTTACTTCCATCTTTTTTTCTTTAGTAAGTATATCCTTTACGCTTTATTATACGTGTTTTTATATTTATAGATTGAATATGTTTACTTTGTTTTTTTATTCCTATGGGGGATACGCATACGATCATGCGAGGCTGGGAGCATGGTTGACATTCCTTCGGGGATGTAGTCACACATGACTTAGGGCGTAGAGGTTTGTATTTTTAATATTTACTTTAAAATTATTTGTAATGACCTGTTTTATTGGTAGGGATTTGGTTGAAATATTAGCGTTTCTAGCGTGATTCTACCCAAGAAGTGAGTTTGCCCTTACTAAAAGATGGTTAAAATCCAAGAAGTGAGTTTTGCCCTTACTAAAAGATGGGTTTCACCTTGATGCGCGCTTTCGGTGGGAAACTTTTTTTAAAAATTAGAATAGACTTCGTATCTTATTTTATAAAATAGTTTTTTTTTCTTCCCCTATTTATTATCGTTTTCGGGGCCACCTTTAGTACCGACGTCCCCGTCGTGTGGCCTGGGCACTATTTTATTATTTAATAGTGGCTAACGGGTACTATTTTATATACATTACCTCTAGTTTATATTTAATTTTTTTTAAACAGATGTATTTTTAAGATATTATTTGTAATAAATATGATATTAAATAAAATGGTTTATAATTTTAATTAATGAATAAATATAATAAATTATGTAAATTGTATTGAAAAAAATATATCAAATACCTACCATGACCAATTCTTGCCAGCAACTATACTTTGCGCTTCTAAGTAAACTTTTAGTGCATGGTCACAAGATTTTGCATATGAAATTTTAGATTCTTTGAGTTGATATTCGTGGAGTTATGACGATTTTTCGTTTGACGACACTGGTTTTTTGCTCTTTTTTGATGAAAAATACTATCGTTCACACCTACGATGACAAATTATCACTAGTAAGCATACTTTATGCTTCTAAGTAAACTTTTAGAGAATGGTCATAAGATTTTTCTTGTGAAATTTCAGATTTTTTGAGTCGATATTTGTGGAGTTATGCCGATTTTTGTTTGATAACACTAAAAACTAGTGGCATCAAACGAAAATCGTCATAACTCCACAAATATCGACTAAAAAAATCTGAAATTTCACAAGAAAAATCTTGTGACCATGCTCTAAAAGTTTAATTAGAAGTGTAAAGCATGGTTACTAGTAATAATTTGTCATCGTAGGTGTGAATGATAGTATTTTTATCAAAAAGAGTAAAAACCCAGTGTCATCAAACGAAAAATCGTCATAACTCCACGAATATCGATTCAAAAAATCTGAAATTTTACATGCAAAATCTTGTAACCATGCGCTAAAAGTTTACTTAGAAGCGTAAAGCACGGTTACTAGTGATAATTTGTCATCGTAGGTGTGAATGATAGTATTTTTCATCAAGAAAGAGCAAAAAACCAGTGTCGTCAAACGAAAAATCGGCATAACTCCACGAATATCAACTCAAAAAATCTGAAATTTTACACGCAAAATCTTGTGACCATGCGCTAAAAGTTTACTTGGAAGCGTAAAGCATGGTTACTAGTGATAATTTGTCATCGTAGGTATGAACGATGGTACTTTTCATCAAAAAAAGAGCAAAAAACCAGTGTCGTCAAATGAAAAACCAGCATAACTCCACAAATATCGACTCAAAAAATCTGAAATTTCACAAGAAAAATCTTATGACCAATTCTCACCAGTAACCATACTTTACATTTCTAAGTAAACTTTTAGCGCATGGTCGCAAGATTTTGTATGTGAAATTTCAGATTCTTTGAGTTAATATTCGTGGAGTTATGACGATTTTTCGTTTGACGACACTGGTTTTTTGCTTTTTTTTGATGAAAAATGCTATCGTTCACACCTATGATGACAAATTATCACTAGTAAACATGCTTTACGCTTCTAAGTAAACTTTTAGAGAATGGTCATAAGATTTTTCTTGTGAAATTTCAGATTTTTTGAGTCGATATTTGTG